TTCACCATTTTCAATAAATTAGTTCCTAATTCCCACATATCCATAGGAAAGCAGTTGTCATAGCAATTATGTTTAGATATGAGGTTCAGTTATGAGATCTGCAATGTGGTTAGGCATGGGGCGTAAAATTCTGATGGTATGATAACCTTGCATAAAAATATCTTGGTTTTACAACATTGTGATTACTGCTCTAAAATGTGTTCTTTTGAAATATCTGGTCAACTTAGAAAGGCATCCTTGGATATCTTACTTTTCTTTGGATATAAAGTAAACCACTGCACTGTTGAGGTCTATAGTTGGTAAGATGTGTATATATATATATTTATTTATTATTAGTTTTTTTGCCCTAAATAAATGAAATTAAATACTCTTTGAAAACAAAACAACAACTACATGCATATACCTTGAAATGGTATAACTCAAAATTTTGAGATTTTAAAATTGACTTTTCTGAACCACACTAAACCATAAAACTGGTTATCATCCCAAGTCTAAATATCGTCATGCAAAATAAGGTATTAAAGGTGCAGTAGGTGATTGTCTTCAGAAACATTTTTTTTTTTGTTGTGCTGGTTGAAAGTCTTTTCACATTGCAATTAGTACTGATTAAAGTAAATTATATAAATGCATTTTTATGTTCTGGGTAAGGCATAAGACTAAAAATGTTTGTCCAAATGTCGGGCCGATAATTCCCATAATTCTGATACCAAGCTTAAACTGTCTGTCAGCAAATGCAAATTTTAGCTACTGCGCACCTGTTTGTACGCAGCTTTGCTGTGCTGCGCGTTCACGAGAGTGATAGAGAGCGAGAGAGAACTGTTAAAACCTGCTGAATCGAAACTTTTTTTTTTTTAAATCCTGAATCAACATTGGAGTTACTTTTGCACGCTGGAGGAAGGACGACACCATATCTGAAGTATTTCTCTTAGACAGATAATGTTCTGATTATTTTTGTCACGCAGAGCTGATGTAGATTGGGCTGTTATGAATGGGTTATAGGCACTGAAGTGTTGTTCAGCCACTGAAATCTTCTGGTTGAAAGATCGATGTGAATGTTTTTCAATTTTTCAGTTTTATAAGGACCTTTTACAGCATCGATAATGTAGATTTTTGTTAAGTTTAAATATAGATTTAAACACATTTACTCAAGTAAATAAACAGAATTAATGATGGGCTGAATGTCTGTGGAATTCTGCATGCGCAGATTCCGGGTGGGCCTACTTATAAACATATAATGCATGTGATGTATTTGAGTGTCTCTCGAAAAATGACGTTACCTACGCCCTCACAATCATTACATTGCATGAAAGGGGCAGAATTGTTTTGCAGCCTGTTCAGTAAGCAAAAGCAGATGAAGCGTGAGTGATTTACATGTGAGGTCATAGCTAAGATGAGATATAGACATATTGCAGCGCATATTGGGCATTTTGAGCATTTGACGTGCATCAGACTGCAAAAGATAGTTGTAAACAGCAATGGAACAGACAGGTGGAGATGAGATTGGTTCAAGGGTGATGGCTGCTAGATGTGACTGAATTGAAGAACATTATTTGTGCTTTACATGTATGGCTGGTTTTATGATGTGCGTCAAATCCATAAATTAAATGAGTTAAAAATTTGTTTAACTCTTTCCCTGCAGTTAACGAGAGAAAATGCTTTCCTGCCATTGACACGTTGTACTACAATTCGTGTTTTAGGTGTAATACGGTAAGGCAAGCACTAATGCATGTGGCATGTATGACATGATGTAAGATGCTCCGGGTAGTAAAATTTGAGAGAAAGTAAAATCAAGGATAAAAATAAGAGTAATACAACCTTTCTTTGGATTAATCCCAACTGTTTTAGATCTTGTCTTGACAAGAGACCAAAATAAAGAAGCTTTATTTTTATGATTTGTGCCATTGTCATTGTTTTAGATTGCACACCTAACACAGGCTACCTAATATGGTAAATACATATAATGTTTTACATTTATATAGATTTTTTTTTTTTTTTTTTATCGAAAAATTTTGCAGCAAATTTCTGGGATTTACCGTCACAAAATTACCGCAAAAAAAATCACAAAAAGAAATTGTGAAAAACTAGAGGGTCTGGGAAATACAAGCTAATATTATGCTTAGATTAACATTAGACAACCCCATTTTTTATTATCATATTTATTTATTTTTTCATTGTTCTGTTATTTATTTTCAGTAAATTTATTCCAAAGTCCAAAGAGAAATGAACTATTGTTTTTTTTTTAATTACTATTATTTTGTGCTTTATCATTTAGCGACTGTGAATAAATGAATAAAACTTAAAAATATAAGGAGTTTTTAAGCTAGAAGTGTTTTGAAATTGCATAATAATCGTGATGACCGTGAAACCGTGATTTTCCTCAGATGATAATCACACAACCAAAATGTATAATCGTTGCATTCCTAATGATAATATGCATGCTAATAAGCAGCTAGTCAAAGTGTTAGCTAGTCCATTTCAAATCTACTTTTTCAATATACCTTAATTACCAGCATTGTCATACACAAACTCCTCTGGCATCAATAGCTCTTTAAATAAATCACAAGAACTACTGTATAACAGACTTATCTTGCCGTACTTAACAAAAGAGCATATCTGCTCTAATAATAGCTTGTTTGTAGGCATTTATTTGTTCACAGAACCACGCAACATTTCTGCTATTCTTTTATCTCCCCTTCATCCCGCCTCATTTTTTTTCTTACTGCTTACATCTTTTTTTTCTCTCGCATCTTTTTCTTCCCATGTCCAAATACAAGGGACTGGCATCGATCGGCACATCTCACAAACACATCCGCTTCAATTGATTTAAGCACAGTTGGCTGTGGGTGAGTGGAGCTGCCCCTAAACTAACACAAACACAGGAGAAGTGTGTTTTATTGCGGTTTCCAGATGGGCAGACAGAACAAGCCGCAACACCTGCTAATGGCTGAAAGGCTGCTCTCGCACAGGTATGTTCTGTTGCCTACTATGGATTTTCCCCCCCTTACATTTGGACACGGCCCATGGGGAGTCCTGTCTTTCGCTCTCTGTCCTGTCTGGGCCGGGATGTGATGTGTGTGTGTAATTACTGAAGCTGAGCTGCAGGCAGACGCCGTGCTGGAAGTGGGAGGAATGATATTGTCTCCCAGAGACCCCTACACCACAGCCCTACACTGAATCGACACAGACTCCTTGCACAGCTAGTCCAACGGCTCCCCGATGGGTATTTGAATGGCAGCCCATCAGCAGAAAGGGAAGAAGGAAGGAAGGAGTTGATTTTAATCTGCCCACTGATCAATATGATCCATGCCTTTCCCTGGCAGGCTTTATGGAAGGTTTACTCTTGAAAGAGATCCATTGGCCTTTATCTGCATATTTTCCCCCTTGAAACCGAACACTGCAATCACTCTGTGTCACTCCGCTCCGGGTCTCTGGCCAAAAACGCTATCATTCCTGCTCTCGCAGTATGACTTACTGCTAACATCTCCTTGTCAGCAGTTCGGGTTTTCAGCTCTTGTCTTGCTGCCACTGAAAAAAGGCACTTTTCATCATTTTTGCACCCTGCTGATATTACATTTGGGATATTTTAGCAACTTTTAAGTTCTCCGCAATTTCTGCAAGGGATTTTTCTAAAATTTTTCCTTTAGTTTGAGGGTCTTGTGGAACTGTTTTATTCATAATATTTAGTAGTAATAATATTTACTCGCCATTGATGAAATTGACTAATTTTATTTAATAGTTGTGTAGCTATATATAGTTGATCCACTATTTTATTCATATTGGTTAATTTAATATTTTGTACTAATATTATTTAATATGCATTAGTGTTGTCTAATTTTATTTAGTATAGTTAGTAGGAATTTTATTTAATAGTTTTATTACATTTTTAATAGTTATTTAATAGTTGTGTTGCTATATAATTGAGTAAAATACCATTTCCATTTTGTTCTGTAAACTGCTGAAAACATTTATTCTGAACTTAAAATTAAGGTTTTGCATTTTATATTCATTGTTAGACAAGCAAGTAACCTCAAATACTATATTTGTGGTTTTTGGAAGAAAAATGATCAAACCTTTATAGAAAAAAAAAATGAAATAAAATACTTTAATGCATAACTAATACATCCAGTAAAGTTAGAGAAACAAATCCTTTGACATATTTAGAATATATTGTTTCTTTCCCAGGGTTGGGTTGCAGCTGGAAGGGCATCCGCTGCGTAAAACATAAATTGGCGGTTCATTCGGTTGTGGCGACCCCTGATTAATAAAAGGGGCTTAGCCAAAAAGAAAATGAATGAATGTTTCTTTTATTTGCAATATCAGAATAATGTTTTTCATTTGTCTGCAATTCAGGAATGCTATGTAAAGCAAAACTAAAATAATTTGACTTTTTGAATTATCTCTTTTGACTGTTTACATTGTTTTAGATCAGATTACTTCAGTGGTTTGGAGTAAATGTTTTATAAAGAATGGGCTAAAAAACAAATGAATAAATGATGGCAAATTATATTTAATTGTCTTCCCCCCTTGCAAATGACATCAAATAGTTTTTTTTTTTTTTTTTTTTTTTTGTGCAATATAGCCTGTTTATTTATACATCTTTTTCATGTTTAGGTTTCCTTGGCTAGTGATGTCATGTAAAACCCTAAGTGCATCGGAGAAGAATCATGTTATAAATTCCAGTCCGACTTATAGTCTGTGCACTTCTTGATGACATACAAAGCTTGATGCTTTGACTTATTTATAAATGGGCAACTGCCTTATTTATTTATTTATTTATTGTCTGAAATACAAGATACACAATATTACTTTTAACAATATCAATCTTGCAATTGTGAACATCTGCATGACGGTGATACCTGCTACACATTTTCAACAAACAGCACTTTTTTTTTTAAGATTTGTGTGTGTTTGTGTAAACAATAGTAACTTTAATGTTGGTTATCCTTTAATTATGAATTCAAAATATATTCCAAAAGCAGACATTAAAAAATTAACCTTACCTGTACCAGTCCAGTCCTTTGTCATAGTTTCTATCAAAGAAATGTGGTTCAGTCCCAAGAGCTCGAACATCTGGATGAATCCGGATGAACTCCAGAACCGCCCTGGTGCCTCCTTTCTTAACCCCAACTATAAGTGCATTGGGCAACTTCTTATTCCCATATTTTGGCGAATTACTATTATTACTCTGCTTGTGATCTGCCAGCTCTGTTTTCTGGAAGGCTGTATGTTTGCTTTGGTTGCCTGTAAGGTTTAGGAGACCCACAGCCCTCGTCTCATCCGAGATAACTCTCGCCTTTGCTGATATAGTGCAATAATGTGACTTTTGTAAAAGTTTTTTACTCCCAACGTTCTTCAGATGGACGCAGCGCTGCTCCTCCAATCTCTGGTTAGGCATGATTGTACCGGAGCAGAAGAGGATGCTGTAGCATAGATACATGAAAGACAAAGAGATAGTGAATATAAAAATAAACCTCCTGCTTAATCTGTTTGAGGATGGCACGACTCGGCTTGACAGGAACCTATATGCCATGTCTCCATGGGTGAAAAGACGGCATGTTTTTCTCCGTAAGTTTCTCTGTGAGCTTTGCTGGCTTTCTCTTGCTCCCCATCAACTCCAACGGCGCCAACTTACATCTCATTTGGGGGGGAAAAAGATAGTTAATATTTCCGACCAGACACAAGACAGAAAGTCAAAGAAGAACAGGTATCGATAACAAGGTAAAGTTTCCAAATGAGCGAAAACGAATGTAATTCCACTGCCCTTTAGTTTCAGATTCGCGCCACTTTTGTGCGTAAAAAAATCACCTCAGGGACAGACTTCACGGACGGACTTGATTCTGTGCTGATATAGTGTTAAAATATCCCTTCGTCTGACCTGGTGGTGTGAAACAACATCCTACTAAATATAATCCGTTTTGGAAACCTCATATTCCATGTCTAAAAGGCACATTTTGCTCCCAACGCGAAGCCGCGCAGCGCTCGCCCCGCCACCGCTCAGCTCAGCTCATGTTTGTGTCTTTCCAAAGTTCTCAAGAGCGGCTTTGCGGCAGTCAAGCGCTTGAGATCAATATTTAAAGACGACGCCTGACGTCACGTCATATTTTCATATTCCTCGTGCGTTTGTCTTTTTTAAAGGAGTACTGCCCAGCCTGTGCCATTACACTAAGTGCCATTATTCTGCTTAAATTCACATTTGCCCTGCGTCTGAGTGAATTGCTTGCGACCATGGTGTGGATTCTTAATCGATTCTTCAATTATAGTAAATAGTGTTTATAGTTTAACAAAATTGCTTCTCTTAGACCCGAAAAGAAACAACTCTCCACTTAAACTGTTATTTATGAGGTGCTCACAACTGGGGCTTTTAAGAGGGTACTGTTTGATCAATGAATTATGGAGATTTTGCTAATATTCACATGCAGCCATGCACTTTGTAGGAAAACTCAGTGACTTTTAACTGTTTCTGTTAATTATTTGTTCCTTAAATTGCAGATTGACAGGAAAGAGATGTATACAGATATGTACAATGCATACGTCATAAATCATTTAAAAATTAATTATGAGTTAATGTTAATAAATTTAAGTAATAGCTGAAGTCAGAATTAATATAGCTTAATGGGACTAATAATTTTCACCTTAAAATGGGGATTAAAATGTAAAAACTTCTTTTATTCTAGCTGAAATAAAACGAATAAGACTTTCTACAGAAGAAAAGCATATCATCAGAAATACTGTGAAAAGTTTCTTGCTCTGTTAAACATAATTTGGGAAATATATATATATATATATATATATATATATATATATATATATATATATATATATATATATATATATATATATATATAAATAAATCAAAGGTGGCTAATAATTCTGACTTCAGCTGTATATGGGTAATTATTTAACTACGGAAACTGTTATGTCCTTTGATTATACATGCAAAATATATGGCATTTTGTTCAAATTCCTCTTTCTTTCTCTAATAATAAAACTAATAATAAAACTTATTTTTACAAAATGTACCACCTTCTAATATATATATTTCATATTATTCAACCACTTTTTAGGTGTCAAAATTACAGTTTTCGCCCAGAGTTTTAAACTTCAACAACGAAAAAAAAATATTTAAAATTATTATTTATCTGGTAACTTAATTAGGTTATTTAAATAGGTTTAATATTTAATATAATATTTTATAGATATTATTGTGAGACTATTATCAATATTAATTTTATTACAAAATATGACTGTTGCACAGTATCAGTGTCATTTCCACCACAACACTGTAATGTCACTTTTAAAAGTTTGTGTGAAAGATTGTTTACGTGGTTTCTATGAAAATGAATAGTGACATACGAGCACATGCTCAAGATGGAGGAAATAAAAATTTTCATTAACAAAACATGAAGAAAATTCCAGGTAAATGCTTGATAAGGTAATATATTTATTCTACATCATTTCCAAACATGCTGTGCCTTCAAAGGTGTTTTTAAAATAGCATGTCGTCAAATTCCCCCATGCTTTCAGACATGTTTGTTTTATTTTATATTCTACTTTTATAATGTTTTTAACCTCTGAAAAGTTAAAACATCATTATTTTGTAAAATATTTCTTATGTTTGCAGTACCTGAAAGCATTTTTCATTCAAGTCATTAAAATAACCTCATACTCAAATCAATCAAATACATGCATAGTAAAGTATTATATTTAATAAAAAATATCTTTATAAATACAGTATATGTTGACAGTATTACATGCACTCATGCTATTCTAACTTATTCTACTTAAAGTAATATATCAAAATAAAATATTTACAATGTTCACTTTTTCATTAAAGTTATAGTTAATTAAAAACATGAAAATTTGCCATTGATTTTACTTACCTTCAGGGAATCCAAAATGTAGCAGACCTTTTCTTTAGTAGAACATTAATGAAGACTTTTAGCTAAAACTGTGGTCCTTGATGATTCAAAACACACAAGTCAACAGCTATAGGCACTTTGAGAATCAAAACCGGTCAAAAAAATGTAATACTCATGTCTCCAGGTCATACATTCAGGTCTTACGAGACAATAGGTTTAGTCTGTGCAAGAAATTAAATATAAGGGGTGCTTATTTTGTTTTAGACTTTTTTTGTTTCAGCATTGTGTCGTAAGTTAAATAAGGTCAAAGGCACTGGACTGTTGACAGATGCAATTTTTCAGTGTTTAAATATCTCCTAAAGACAATCATCAAGACAAACAGCCCTTACTCCACATCACATAATCTGTAGCAGAGAGCTTTATTTCAATCTGTTTGTCTAGAGAGGAACATAAATATTGACATTAATATTGACAGGCAGCTGCGTGAGACAGTTTCAAAAATGATTTGGTTTACACAGGTGAAATCCCTACGATTGCAATCATCCTCTTCAAGCAGGGGATTTCAACGTCCAGACGTCTTTGTGGAGTAAAAGGCTTAAGGTGATAAACAAATTCTTCATTATTAAAGTTGCCTGCATTTATTGGATATAATCCTAAGCGGCCTTTACTTCTGTGTGTAGGCAAACAAATCACTCGGAGCGTCTCTCATCTCCAAAGGCTCGGATGTTGTAGACACGGATTGCACCAGAGAACAAGAGCGTTTCAGTCAGCAAATGTCACTATCTCTGTTTGAGTCTGTCTGACATTTCTCAAAAAAATACTGAATGTGCAGATTATATTTATATAAACGTTGGCACCATGAAATGAGCAGTGTACCCCAAAATAATATGAACATGTTGGAATTATCTGCTGTTCAGTGAAAAATCTGCCTTGTGGTAGTTTTATTTAGTGTCTTCTTTTTGAATAAAATAAGAAGAAAAGCCCCAAAGGGCATAATAAGTAAACATATAATAGCAAGCTATGGGAATATTCCCTTCAGTAAAAATAATAATATTGAAGAATCTTGGTAACCAAAAAGTTTTCAGTGATAAACAAGGACATTTGTCAAATATCTTCTTTTGGCTACAATCATTTGGTCATTTGATGAATCAATCAAAACCTGGGAATACTCCTAAAGAGCTCCTATAATGCATTAAAAAAGGTCATATTTTGGTTTTGGGCATCTCCAACAACAGTTGATATGCATGCAAGGTCAAAAAACACTTTCATTTTCTTATAATATGCATTTATCTTGACCTAATTATCCCAACAGCATATAATTCGATCAGCAATTCATTTGTTCCCAAACCCCTCCTAGGACAATGCTAATCTGCGCTGATTGTTGACCCAGTCTGTTGTGTTTGGTCGAGTGCATTCAGCACATGAAAGAGAAACACCCACCATGGCTTATCAACAATTTTGAAGTAGTGTGAGTGCAGAGTGTATGTGTCAGCCCAATGCAGAAGTGCATTAAAGCAATGCAGTTTAAGTAAAAACAGTGACACACCTTTAGTATTAATCCACACAGTGGTAAAAACTGAAAAATTTTGAAACTTGTGTGTAGGAACAGCAGGCGGTGACCATAGCAATGAAAAACTGCGGTGGATCGCGAGCTCACAAATGCATTTAAATCCAAAAACAAAGCGCCACATGTCGCATTTTCAATGTGGCTTTAGATGCAATATGAGAATATAAAGTTAACCAGATAAAGTACAAGCCACGTAGAATGGTTACAAGTAACAAAACACAATTAAATACATAATTTGCAAGACAGAAAAAAAAAAATCAAGGAGGCAACCATTTTAATCGGACTTACTTGTGAAACGGAGGAAGAAACTGATCCTTGTTTGTGGGCGGGGTTGGGGGGCTTACATTTTCATGAGTCTGCTTGCGCAACAAATGGGTGGGACTTGAGTTCCATATCGACGTCATGTTAACATTACTAAAAATTAGTTACAATGGCGATTCATTCGAACCACTATCTAAAAAGAGTCGACTCTTTTTCGTAGATGAATCAATAGTTTTAAACATGGTGCACTTTCAGATTTAGGCCTTTGCTGGCTATTTCACTTCACTTAAGTCTGATTTATACCTGGTCACATTGCCCTCACTGGGTGGCCACGCTGACGCGCACATCTCAAAAAATGTAAATACAAGTCGCAACGATGAGTAGCGCAGGCTCTGTGATTGGTCGACTTGGTAGTGCTGATGAGTGTGGGTGGAGGTAAGAGCCGCACGAACCCGATGCAGCAAGTGTTTACAAGTGTCGAGTCCCGTGAAGGAACTGGAGCTCTAGAGGTAAACTGTTGTTTTGTGTTTGCCTTATGATTAAAGTTGTTCCGCGTCCGCTGGTTCCCGCCTCTGAATGAGCGAGTTTGAACCACTAATACATAAAGGTAGCGTTCAGAATACAACAAAACACCTGTGAAGAAACTCGACACAGAGAAACATAAACCTACTACCAACTAGTGTTTCTTAAGTGTTATTGCAGAGGAAAACAAACGGTGTGCAGAAGTATAAACGCACGACCATGCACAAGGCATGCACCGTGGGTCACACCGATCACTCAATGCAGAACTATAAACCTGGCTTTAGAGCTGTGTTACATACTGCCAGACAGGTCATTTTCAGA